GTATCTTCGCAATGGAAAGGAAGGCAATTGGTAAGGGAGATGTTTAACTGAGTGATGTGAACCATGTCTTTTGTAGTTAACATCTGTTTAAGATCTATTTAAACTATTGGGGAAAAAAAAAAAAAATCTTGGTGAAGTTTCAGCATCCTTCCTCTTTCAAATAAATAGCGAGCTCACAGTTAACATCCTCATTTACGCTTAAAACACTCCGGAAAGACAAGAGGTGAAAAAGACTTGAAATAATTGTGGTAAAGTAGAAGGACATAAAGAAGCTCACAGGCCCTTGGCATCTGCCAAGGGAAGGAAAAGAAAGGTGCAACTTCAAGCTGCAAAGCAGCTCTCTGAACCGTGCAGCGCTCCGAAGAGTTATGCCCAGCCCCAACTGCAGGCTGGCTGAAGATTAATCTAGTTAGTGACCCAAAGGAAAACACAGCAACAATATGATCAGCTCAGCACTTCTAAAATAATTTTGGTCTCTATTATGTCATCTTCTTTCAATACCAATTGTTTGTTGCTGGTTCTGCTGCCCATCAGCACTATTATTAAGAACGGCTATTTGCCGTTGGTTCTTTCCTGCCCTCTGAGCAATAACTTCCTCTCGTTGCGTTTCTCCTGCCCAAGAGCTGGACATCTGTCTTCCTCCTCGTTACGACAAACACGCTCAGAGCTCTTCTTTTCACTTCTCTGTGCTCAGCTGGAAGCCGTGGTGTGTTCGCCGGGTTCTTCCTTTTCTCCCGTCAGCATCACGAAGCTGCTGTGGTCCCAGGCAGGCCAGATGTGCAGATGAGCTGGGAGTCCAGACAGCTGTGGCTCCAGGACATTGATGGGAACTGAATTGTGAGAACTCGGTGAACGTAGATGCTAAAAGGAAAACATTAGTTCCCAAAGTGGGTTAAAAAAGTTACTTATTTACCTGCAAAGTGGGAAGTGACAAGTGAAATCTCCCTGGTTTGTAGTCTCAGCTGTTTGGTTTTGAATTTGACAGAATGCCAGTGACGGCACGAGGATGTTCCTTGGGGCAGGTTGTCCTCCTGCTGCGTTAATCAGTGGTGGAAGATCATTGATTTATAAACTGTGTAAGCCAATTGTGGTTGTAGTTCTGGGCATAAATATTTTGAGGAAATCATTCAAAAGCGTGGCTCACAAAGCGATTGGTGCCTTTGCTACTCAGAATGGTGGATTTCCAATGCCAAACAACTCCATATTTGAACTCTGCCAGTTTTGCAAGATGCTCACTGTTTGTTTGAGGTTTTTTTCTCCCCTCATATTGAATATTCCCTTGATGATCATTTGAAAGCGCTTGAAAAGCTTTTGAATTTTGCACGTTGGCTTTCAGTGCTTAGGGTGACTCCCTTTGCATTTAGCCAGAGCTGCCTTGTTCGTGCCTTCGCAGGAGGATTGGTCTGGAGGTAATTCCTTACTGCTGGAGAAGAAACGTGTAACATCACACTGAATCCCAGCCGCTGGAGTGGAACGTGCGCGTCACCACTGCTCAGCCCTGCACCTACTTGTCTTGCTCCAAAAAGCATCTGCTTTGGCTTGCTCCAAATTAGACTAAAACTTTTTCAGGCCAATTTTTAAGGATTGCAAAGGTTTCAGGAACAATAACAAGGTGCAGTCTGAGGCATCTGATTTTAACTTTTACAGAGATAAATTTGAACATCTGCAAGTGGCCATAGTTCGAATTTGGCTTTTCTTGGAAGCAGAGAGGCCAAACAACCACTTGTATTGCAGCACAAAGCATCTCAAATTAGATACCCAGAGTCCCTTGAAATGCTGATGTACTCGTGCCCCTTGAGCAGAGAGCAGCAGGTCCAAGAAGGGAGGATGCTCAGGAGCCAGACCTGTGCTAGACCCGACGTTTTGGAGCGAATGCTGTTTCCCTGCACTCCGCTCCGCAGCACGGCTGAGCGCGGGGCCGATTCAGCCCCAGGTTTGGGATTTGCAGCTCGCAAACACGCGCAAGACAGGACATCCCCGTGGTGGCCAGCTTACATAATGTCACTTGCATAACCCCGGCAAGCACAGTCAGGGTCTCTCCTCATGCCAAATCAAGGCTCTCTGGGGTCTTGTGTCACATTCACGCTCTGTTTGAAGTTGCATTTCAGTTCATCACAAATTCCAGCTCCTCCTACACGAAGCGTGTGGCTGCAAGGCTTGTCCCTTCAGCCTCAACTTCCCCCCACCCCGCAGGCAGAGCATCCCTTTCACTTCCAGCCCAATCTGCTCCATGAGTTGCAGAAACTCTTTTTCCTCCCGCAGCCCAGATAGTCCAATCTCAAACCTTCGCCAGGGTGGTGGTCCCTCTTCTGTGGGAGATTGTTCCTTTTCTGGAGAGTCTCAGAGGAGCCAGTCTGAACTTGGGAGAACTGAGATCCACTTGGCAGGGAGGAGAGAGTGGCTGTTAGATGCTGAGGAAGAAGCTTTTTTTTCCTTTTCCTCCAGGGTTTTCTCTCCAAGGTGAGTACTCTTAATTACCACAGGGTAATTACTAGTGGATGAAATCCAAGCCCCTGCAGCCTGTTTGGTCACCAGTCAGCAACTTCACTCGGGGCTGGGTTTCACTCACTCTTCCATTCTGTAAAAGACCAAACAGATACCACGAGGAGCAAGAGATAAAGCAGGGAGGTTGGTTTGCTTTGATTTTTAACTTGCACAACCCCAGATTTCACAGTGTTTGCAAGCAGGGTTAAAAGCCTCAGGGTATTTAAAACTGTCTTGCTGATGGTGGGATTCACGTTGCCAGAGGGACACTGTCCTACCCCAGAGCAGGTTGCTGAAATCAGACAGATGAGGGATGACCCGACAGCCCCTATTTCTCCTGCTCTGCTGCGACGGGGACGGCTCAGCCCAGCCCTCGGCACCAGCAGCACCGGCCAAACCTCATAGTCACTTATGGGAAAGTGTTTCCGTAGATGAAAACGTCTCTTCTCCTCTTCCAGTGGCTCGGGCTCCCCAGGCTGGTGCTGGCACCAGGTTTGGCAGAACCAGCTCCTTTGTTCAGAAAGAAAAGCGCTGGATTCTGAGCTTTTGGGGCTCAGGTCTTTTCTTGTCTGAGGGAGACCGGATCTGCCTGTGAGCAACGACCACACCGATGATAAATGCTGCCTATGAAATGTTAATGCTTAACAGAGCCTCTCTGGATGAGGCCTGCGTTGTAACGATACCACCCATCACGGGGGGGTTAATTGAGTCAATGAGGTGAGCAGCGGAGCCGGGTGGCATATGCCAAGGGCTTGATGAGCCCAGTCATTACCGCGGGAGCCTCGTCACTCGCCGCGCCGCGATTACAGGGGGGATTTGGTGGGAAGTGGCCAATGAGGGGCCAAGCTGGCTCCAAATCCAGCTTTTTGCAAAGCCCCAGATAAAAGAGACTTCCATTAATAAGGCGAGAAAGGTTGGGACGAGGAGCATTACAGCAAATCTGGAGAGGTAAGGTGATAGTTTTGTCTGAGGCTTGTCGAGCATATGGCCCCGGCTTCCGTACGGGAGACGCGAGCGCTCGGGTGGTCGGTGAGTGGGGCATTATTTTCCTGTCTGCAGAAGAAGAGGTTTGTTTGCTGATGTTAAAAAATTAGATGGCTGGAGGCACTTGATAGTGTAATCGGGAAGCTAAATGCAGAGATTTTCTGGATCGTCATAGCGTGTGTGCTCCTTCTGGGTGATGGCTCTGAAAAATCATCGTAATCTGCTGGCTAGTTTTAGATTCTGGGTTTTGAAAAGGAGATTTGTGGTCAAAAACTGTTGAGAGCTTTCCACTTATGGAGCTACATTGTTACAGAGGATCCGTGGTTTTGATGACTGCTCTTTCTCACTGGTCAAATCCAGGTAGAAACAGAAATAGAGCAAGTAATTGAACTAATTTAGTGAAAACAGAGAGGTTAAAAAGTAAAGTTTGATAACGTAAAGCTGAACATAAGATGCATCTGTCCTTTTTCACCTTAAGCTCGAGATCTGTTGCTGTACAAAAATCGTGACGAGCCTTTTAAACTGTTTATGGCAGCGTAGGCTGAAGCTTCTCCTAGACGGTGGTAATCTCTTCTGCAAACCACCTTACATCGATGTGACATGTCTTCACCTCCAGCCCTGCCGTCCCCTGCTGCTCTCCCCTCTCCTTCCCATTCCCACTCCCC